TGGGATTACAGGTAAGCGCCACCATGCCCGACCTGTCTTGAAATTCCTAATTGTAAAGGGGCCTCCTGTCTTTATTTTGCACATATTATAAAGCCTTCTCTGTTTCCCTCAAACTTGACCCTACTGGCTTCTCTGACATTTAATAATCCTTGTGTTTATTGATCAGAGTATTTTCTACATTAAACTCAAGGGCAGCTTGTCATGCTGCTTCCATCCTACGGTGGGTATAAAATAACTGCGTGACTCATAAGGCGTGGCCCGAATGCAAATTTATTTTTGTGTCCTTTAACTATAATGGGGAAGCGGGTGTGCAGGAATCTTCCCCGGGCCCTGGGTAGAAACTTGGCCTGATGCCATGCACTTCATGGCTGCTCCTAAGCAAGATCAGACCTTTGCCCTCTCAAAGCTAAAACATGCCTTGTCTAATTAGCCTGAGTTCATTTCTCCATGAGAGGGGAGGGAAGGAAGGAAAAGGGGATGAGAAAGGAATTAAGATGTTTAAGTACATGCGCCAACTCCACACAAGGCATATAAACATTATGCACTACAAACATGTACTAATAAAAAGGAAAAACTAAAATATTCACTTTAAAGCCCAAAAATGTATACAAGCATTATTTGTCAATATATAATAAAACAGACTCCGAAAATTGGAAAAATGTTAAAAACAAAACACAGGAACACTGTCTCAGTTCATAGTAATCAACATTTCAGTCTGCAAGCTGAGGCAGGAGGATCATTGTGAGTTCGAGACCAGCTGGGGTTACAAAGTGAGCTCAAGGCCAGCCTGAAATGCATAGCGAAACCCTGTCTCAAAAAGACCAAAAAAAAAAAAAAAAAAAAAAAAAAAAAAAAAAAATTCAAGACAGCAGCAGAACATTTAACATATCAGCCAAGGCTGATATGGTTCACTGCTCTTCTCTACTTTTCGGGGGTCCACATTATGGCTGTGGTGCCCCACCAGGCATCTCTTGATTAGGGGCTCTCTGTAGTAGCTCTAACCCTGCAGCACCATCTGCCTGCCCTCCCAGGCTCTCCTCTGAAATCTTGGGGGAAGTCACCGGGACCCCACAACTCTTTCATTCTGTGTGCCCACAAGCTGAGCACATCTGAAAGCCAAAGTCTGCCCATAGCATGAGCTGTTCCTCAGTCAGCTTAAGCCATGACTATGGCCACTGAGTGCTTTGCTGACTGGAAGCAGGGAAATTAATCCTAAGCAACCCTGGGCAAGGAGCACTCTGGGGTCCTTTCCTGAAACGATTGTGCCCTGGAATGTCTCTGGGCCTGACATGGGAGTGTTGGCCTTGAAGTTTTCTGAGATGCTCTTGAGATCTTATTGTTCCTATCAAAAGTAGTTAGCTATATTTTAACTGAACTAATCTCTTTAACAAACTCACCCTTACACCCTTTTTCCTCATTCCTTCCTAGGCCAGCCTCAGATTTTCCAAATCTTTCCCCCCTTTTCCTTTTTGCTCTTGAGTCTCACTGTAAAGCTGACTAAAATGGTGAATCATACCTGAGTGAAAGCTGAATGCTTTGCTTTTTGAAATTTCTCCCATTAAGTGAATCAGTCCATCATTTTCAATTTTGATTTTCCATAAAGTCTTGGGGGATGGACACAGTATATCCAAGTTCTTTATCACAGTTTAATGAGGATGACCTTTAATTTTCATTTACATTAGAGATTAGTTCTGTTGCCACCTAATGTTACAAGCCTGCATCAGAATCACCACTAATATTCCACTTACAGCACTGTAAGCTTTTCCTAGCCTGCTCCTCCAAAGTCTTCTAACATCTGCCTATCACTCATTTCCAAAACTGAACCCACATTTTCAGGTCTAGTTATAGTAATAACCCCATTCCTCAGTACCAGCTTTCTGTATTGTCTGTTTTGAGTGGCTCTAATAATATAGCTGAGGCTGGGAACTTCATAAAGAAAAGAGTATTATTTGGGTCACAGTTCTGAGGTTTCAAGAGTGTGGGACTGGTATCAGCCTGGTTGACCTCATGGAAGATGACAAACAATGGCAGGAGCCTGAGGAAGAGTGAAAGACTAGATCACAAGACAAAGAGAAATCAGAGGTCATGCTTAGGGTTTTGTAAAAATTACTCTCAAATAACATGCCCAGGGGTCCCCAGAGAACTACCTTCATCCTTTTTGAGGATGACCAGTGACCTGTGGGCCTCTTGATAGGCTCCACTTCTCATAGATCTCACGTATCCTTCACTAAAGACAAAGCCTCCAACACGTGAACCTTCCAAGCGTTGTCTCCAAAACAATTCAACCACTACCAAAACACAACACTGCGTGGGGTTTTGTGTGATGCCTGGGTCCCAGGTCCTTGAAGCTACCCTAGGGCGAGGAACAAAGATCAGAAGAAGTGAGGAGCCTGCTAGAAGTCTGTTTAGTGAGAGACATGTGACACGAGGCCTGACTAGTGCAGTCTACTTTGAGTGAAATATTGTCAAATACGGTCCCCTCTCTGTGATCCTGAAAATCCTCAGCAAAATCACAGACTCCCCATATGCTTATGGGAATGGGTTTTTATGGAACCTGGTGAATGGGCTGGTATGGGGCTAAAAGAGTAAACCAAGTAAATAAGGGAAAGATGAAATCTGCTTATTCACTCAACACTGGGGTTTAGCAAACCGCTCGCATTCTGTGACAGGAAATTTCCCTAAGTTGTATAGGTTATATAGTATCAAGGGACCAAGTGGTGTTTTATTCATGTTGCAGGACATTTCATGGTGTGCTTTCTCTGCTGCACAGAATTGGCAACCAGGGAGCAAGTCTGGAGGTACAGAGACACTAAATTCCCGACATTATGAACAAAATCATGAATAGTGGGAGCTAGATGCTTCTTCATGGTTTGCCAAGAGATGGGAGAGCCATAGTAGCCCTGCCTTGGCCCATGTGCCTCTCACATGCTAGTTATGGGAGTTTGGCTTAGAGAGGAGCCTGCTGCTGTTGCTGCTCCCTCTGGCAGCTAAGAGCTATTCTCTAAGCATTTTCCCTAAAGGTTCATGGGCCCCAAGCATGGTCCCAGTGTGGCAGAGTTGAGATGTTGGAACATTTAAGAGGTGGGGCTTAGCGGGAGGTAATTAGGTCAGAGGGAGATGGTCTTTCCAAGGGATTAGCACAGATGTTATGGGACTAGATGAATTCCCACCAGAACGAGTTGTTAAATTGGAGCCTGGCACCTCTCCTGAATTCTTCTGCATGCATTGTCATGCTGTGGTTCCAGCACTGTGATGCCATCTGATATGAGGCCCCCAGGGTGTTGAGATGACAGTTCCATGCTCCAGGATCTCCAAAACTGTGAACTAAATGAGCCATTTTTCTTTATAAAGTATCCAGTCTCAAGTATTTTGTTATAACAACACAAAATGGACTAATACACCAATCATAGAGGATAGAATTGTAACTGTCACATGAGCGTGGTATTTCTGACTGGCTATTTGCTCAGGCAGTAGATTGATCTTCCCTGCCCCTTCTAAGCAGGAGCAAAGAGGGTTGGAGGCAAATGGAGAGGGCAGTGGTGAGGAAGCCGGAGGGCAGCCTGTAGCCATTCCCATGGTGTGGCAGGAAGTCTGCTTTTCCTATGCATACAGTGTCTCCTGGGTAGGCAGCTGTCCTGCCTTAAGCTTTTCTCTCTGGCTTTGGGGAGTGTGGATGAGATGAGGGTAGTGAGAAGATGTCGAGTAGCATCAAGTAGAGGAGATGTAGGTCCTCCAGATTGGAAAAGATCCCTGTAAATGCTTCCTGAAGGACTCACTTGTAGAAGTAGCAATTTTATATAGAAAAGATGAGACAGATACTCTTGGCACTGCCTCCCCATCCCTCTCTGATCCACCCAAGCACCTTGGAGAAGACAGGAAGCAAGGTTGCTTTCCAGAGGCTTACCATGAGCTCTCCTACCTCCCCACCCCTGGGGTGAGGAAGGGGAGGCAGAGAGCAAGAACAGAGCTTGCTCTTTTCCTCCTTCAGATCCTCCCAGCCCCCAGTCCAGCCAGTGATAGAGGAAGGGATACTTTGCCTCGGATATGAGGTTGGCTTCTTTAACTAGCCTTGACGGAGTTTTTTAATATCAAGAAGTGACCGAGGAAGTTTTGGAATCTTTCCAGGGTATCATTAAGGGATACCCTGGGTATCTCTACCCAGCAGGAGTGGGAGATTCACACGGCCCAGTGGGGGGCATGAGGGGTGAAAAATAAAACCGTTTCCTGTGTGCCCCTGTGGAGCTGAGGCTTCAATAAGCCACTTACATCTGATTGAGGACCTCATATACTTAGAACTAAAGTGAAGTCAGGATGCATTGGTAATGTGGTGCACTGAGTTATAAGTTGTTGAAGAGTGGTCAGATTTTTTTTTCTGCAAATCAAAACCCTGAAATGTTAAATAAAAAAAAAAGAGGCACATTAGAGGCGAACTTCTGGATGTAGATAGCGAAGACTAAAAGTGGTACCTGAGAGCTGCTTTTCTTCTTTTATCTCCTTAAAATCGAAGCATTTCTTTTATGTGTAATATTATACGAGAAATGTCAGGTTTCAAATTTCAGTCTATAATAGATTCCTAAACTGAAAATCTAACAATGAAATTGAAAAAAGTTGGTGTTTAAAACATGCTTATAAGCTATTTGTTATCTTTGTTTACTTCCTTGTCAACCATGGTATTCTGTTCAACTATTTAATTTTCATCAAATTTGGTTACTCATTTATATAATTTGTAATTAAGTGTAACTGTGTCCATGTATTTTACAAAAGGTAGTGATGTGGCTTCCGCTTCTGCCCCTCCCTCAGCCTCTGTCCCCTCTTTCTCTCCATTACCAGAGACTTCTGAAGTAGTTACAATGCTCTTTTTATTCAAACAAAAATTATTTTAACTTTAAACTCCAGATATTCTTTAAACTGTTTTATATCACTTGGACTAACAAAGAAAAATCACAATCAAAGATACACAGTCCTTCAAGAGTCCTGCCATTCTTTCTTATCTTCGCCATAGAGCTGCCTGTAGATTGCAGGCCACAGTTTCATATCATCTTTAGGGACAGGCTCCAGAGTTCTTAGTTTTCTTATTTCACTTCTGCATCATCTATTTTCTTGAACACCGGCCTCCTGAAATATAAGCAGGACAAAATGTTCTCATCCATCAGAACACCAGTGTGCAAAAGCATATAAAAATACAACCAATAGGTCAATACAATACAGTTAGGTCAAACACCTAATTGTACTTCAGTTGAATTGTGTTGTACTTGAGATGAGTGAGATATTGATGTGATGCTGAATTTGTAAGGGGGACCAGGTTCAAAAACTTACCACTGATTCACCTCTTTTCACTCCCACCCCACTCCCAACTGGTTAGTTGTCCAGTTCTACCCGTGTGTGATGTCCCAGGACATCATTTGCAGAATGATGGGGATTTTCCAGCTCCTGATGAATAACACCCCATGTCCTTGTCTAGGCCATGCTTGTCTATACTCTGCGCTTCCTCTGCCCATCTTGTCTTCAGTCTTCTCCTCTTCACTTACTCTTTTTTTTTGCTCTTGTCATACTGAACCTTGGCTTTCTGGCTCACCTTGGTTTAGTGCCATTGCTCATACTCCTCTGTTTGCCTAGAAATGATCTCTCTCTTCCCACCAGTTTCTGAGTGTGCAAACTACAGCTGCCCTTCCATGTATGACTCAGGAAATGTCCCTCACTTCCTCTGTAGGACCTTATTTGTGTCTTTCATATAATTTCATTCTATCAAATACTAAGGGCTTACTTCATGGCAGACATGGGCCGATGCACTGGGAATAGGGCAATAGACAAAAATGATAGGATTTATAAAACTGACATCTTTTGAAAATGATTGACTCTAAACATATAATAAGTTATATGGGGATAAATACTATTGGGGAAAAAAATCAACTGGACGTATTCTGAGGTGGTCTCTCTGGAAAGGTGACACGGCTTGCCACATTGCTTTCTTCCCTCCTTAATGAAAGCATTAAATTCACTTTGTATAAAAAATGTTTTCTAAAAACACATTCTGTACTGGAAGATAACATTAACTGAAAAATCTTTTGTTGTGACTTACACTCTGATTTATACATAATGGATAATAAATACTTATTAAGATAATGGTTATTACTTTATTTATAAAATGAGATCCACAAAAACAAAAAAAACTTTGATTAAAAGGGAAAAATAGTCAATCTGTATTTGAGATCTGGGTTATGGAGATGGTGTCCTTTGGATTTGAGGACAACTCTCTCATGTGGTTCTTTTTAATGTTAGAGGGTTCAAGTGTCAGACAACACGCCACCAGCTTAATTCTTAATCTTGTCCCGGCATGGATGTACTGTGTAGCTTATGAAATAATGAGGTGGGTGCCCATGGGTGGCTTTGGGAAGCCATATCATTACTATGCACCTGTTGCCATGCTAATTGTACCTGGCCTTCACAGTTCTTAATTTACAGAAATTTATGTCCCCGTCTTTACCTTTCTTCTCTGAAGAAACTTACTTTCTTAAAATTTATTTTGAAAAAGAATATGGTCCTTTTTCTAAGTTTCTGGACCAGCACTATATCCTAGCTCATGCACTTTGACGAATTCTCAAATATTTACCTTGGTTGTTTTTGTCAGGATTCTAGATTTCTTGGTTCTGGCAGGCCATGCAGTGGAGTAACTCACTGGTGGAGAGTGAAGGCGTGGATTGTCTGAACAAATTGCTCAGTGTCTTGGAGGCCCTCTTGGCTGCTGTCATTCTCCCAAACCTTTGGGGAAGGTTAGGAACATGTCTGGAGATGCTCGCCTCCATATTTCTTCCAAATCTCAGAGGGAGGTTGACTGAACCCCCAGGGCTTCTTTCTTCTTTCATGGTCCTCCCAAATCTCAGTGGCAGGTTGGCTGCAGAGTGTGGTGTTTTATTGACTGCAGGTGTACTCATCTTGATGACCTTTTTTGGTCCCCAATCTTTTAATTCTTGAAAACTGAAACTTCTTTCCTTTTCTCCTTTTGGGGTTCCTCTAGGCTATAATTAGAAATGACCAGCAAAATAATTTATTACTGTTATAAGCCATAGATTTAAACCCCACATTAACTTAAACCCAGACTTTATTCTGCAGAATTGTTAAAGCTATAAACAAAGTTGTGTTCTTAGGTGCAAGACTTTTTAATAAATAATTTGTATTAAGCTTCTTAAAGCAATCTGGTTTCTTTGTCCCTAGACTATTGTAAGATAACTATAAAATATTAATAAAATATATGTAGTAAATATAGTAATACATTTGAGCAGCAGGAATATAATGAGATATTGAAATGAGGCAAAAGTTTATTTTACTGCTGTTATTCTTTCAGTTTCTTGATTCATGTTGTTTATGAAATACTGTACATACATTTAATTTTATTTTAGAGAAAAAATAAAACAAAGTTTCAAAACAAGATAATAGGAGGTAACAATAGTTAATATATTGCATATTGTTATCTTTAAATTACTCAGAGTACAAGATATAGGCATTTAATTGTCCAAACAATATTAGTGTATGTTAACTTTAGGGAAACTTCCCATTTCCTTTCCATATTTTGTATCCTTTCTTCCCCTTAAAGGCCAGCTGGTACGTGGGAACATGATAAAATAAAAATAGAGATATTAGCCAGATTTTGGAGAATAGTTGTAGGAGGCTCCAGTAAATTTCCTTTTAATCTCTTCATCTTTAGCATTCCACTTTAAAAATGCCTCAAGAAACCAATTTTATTTTATGAGAATATAAATCATATTTTTAGTAAAGAAAGGACAAGTTTCTGGATTACTGCAACACAAACACACCAACCTTATAGAAACCACTTCAAATATACCAAACATTTAATTAGCTTTAGTTTTACTATAAAAATTTGTCCTTATAAAGATTTTTAAATGATTGCTTTCTGATTGTGATCTGAATAAAATGAGTAATACATACTCATACTAGCGAACTTGGAAAAGTTATCAAAACATAATGAACAAAATAAAAACAATATGCAATTCTATCATCTAGGGATAGATGAACATTTAACTTAGATAAGATTTATCACAAACTTACCAGCTTGTAACTGCTAGGTAGAAAATGTAAATACTGTGAAAATCTGTACTTTAAAACAATTCAAATATCCAGCTAAAATGTATCCACGTCTTATTTCCACAAATATTTATTACAAATATGCAGTTCTGAGTCAACCGAAGCTATATTAGTGTGTTTTATGCTTGGTAAGTATAATACTCTAAATAGCAGACTCTGTCATTTGAGAGGCCAGGCTATTTGCTGTTGTAAACAGTGTAAGTCACACCATATACTGTGATTGGAAAGGTGAAGTTTGAGGACAACCAAAATGAAACAAAGCTAAAACTAGAAAAGCCAACACAAACTAATTTATTCCTTACTCTTTAAAAAGCATCAGGTTCAAGACAAATATCACATATATAATTCTGGTCATAGAAGATGTAAACACTTACCTTGGAACATTTGTCATAATTTTTTTTACTGTGAAGATGTCCCAGTGTTAGCTCATCTGCACAAAAGATATGTGATGTTAACAAGAGTGATGTGGCTAACGTCAGTAAAATGAAACTTTTTGATGAAATAATTTCCATTTTGTTCAAATCTAAAATTAAGTTAGTACGTGGAGACCAGTGTCTTTCAGGAAGGGAAATCATGGTGCTTTTATACTGTCCAAAACCAAAAAAAAGTTTCCTGTAACAGCGAAATCAATCCCACACATTTTAAGTATTAATATTAATTAGAATGCGTAACTAAAATATGCATGTAAGGAATGTGTATTTGTGTTTGTAAACTCACTGACTTTAAAAATAATTTCCTTCATTATGAAAGCTCTTCTAATTAGTAAGGTTGAAGCAACAGTCATTAAGATTCCAAACAGGATGCTTTATTTCTTTGAGCTTAAACAAAAAGTATTTTGTTTTATTATTTACATCAGTTTTTGAGGGAAGGAAGAAGAAAGGAGTTCATACAAGCTAGCTATGGCTTTTAGAATCCACACAAAAGAATTAGGCATACTATTTTCAAAATGTCAAATAAAATTAAGAATGTGAAAAGAATTATAAGTCATACAATACTCCAATAAAATGCCACAGATTAATTTTTTTGTGAAATACTGTTTGGTTATTAAAAAGTTTCAGGAGTAAATGTCAGCTGTAACGTGAAGAATGAGCAGAACAGCAAATATGCAATAGGCATTTTGACAAACTGGTGACTCCGGAGAAGCTGGAAGCAGTCAAATGCTTTGGACCTGCCCCAGGGGCCTTATTTGGTAAATCTGCATGAATCACCTGTGTTTTATTTCTATCAATTTACCATATCCTATCTTCCTGCCCAAAGTCCTAAAGAACTCTAGCAAAGGCTGGGTAAGGGACACACATGCTAATTTTGTTGCTCCCAGAGCCCATATTATTTAGGTAATCTTGCTTTGCCACAGGCATACTGACATTGTGGCATTAAAAGAGAATTTATAGAAATAAATGTGCATTTACTGAAATGCCATAGGCAGGCTCTTTCAGAGCAGTTGACTGGTATTCTTAAAGCCCTGCCTTATCACTAGATTGCCTGGGGTCCAGAAAAACATCACTTGGTCCCACTGGTCCCCTTAAACCTCTCAGGTGAAAAAGACCTTTACATGGGTTTCCAACACTCCAGCTACTTATGTGTGCAAACACTTGGAGGTGAATTAACACAAAGTCATGCTATTGCTCTGTGGTTTTAAGAATCGTGCACCCCTAGTCTGTCTCACTAACCATCTTTACATAATTCAAGATATGAGATAGCAGAAGTAAAGACCACTCTCAAGGTTGAAGATCTCTAGGATCAGTCAGAAAGTTGGAAAACAATGGGTGAACTCTTGGGACCCTTTAAAATCATACTTGCCTGTGACCTCTCTTAAGACAGCTGATTTCATTGGCTTCATTTGTTTTGGTCTGTGGGAGCCAAGAATCCCCACAGTAGGAGGCAATTAATTTAATTCATAGTCTAGTGGTAATTTTGTAATACTGTTATTGGATTATTTGAGTTTAATTTCCCTGAGGATTTAATATACTTCTCTTCCAAATGGTTCTTATGCAAACTGCTGATGGAACTGCCTTTTTTGTGGTCAGTAGATCTAAACTTTTGAGAAATGAGTAAAGCAAGGGGCAAATTTTGTTGACCAAGTTCACACCCTGGAAAAAGCAGAAGGCGTTAGTTTAGGTCTCTTTCAAAACTTTGTTTACATCTAGTTTCCTTTTCAAATAACATGGAACTTAAGTATTCCACCAGTTTCAGTGTGCTGATTAGCACTGAATCTCTCGGCCTGTCTATTAGAGCTTTTCTGATTCCAGTCAAAATCCAGGGTAGTCCATAGGACTAATTGCTCTCCTGCCTCCACCAGGTTAGTCTTCCAAGTTTGGAGTGTGATCATATAATAACCTCATTAATATGGAGGCTTGGCTCTTTCCAACCATGTCTTCATTTAGCTTTGAAAACATTAAAAGATATAGGACAAAATTGCCTAACATACACGAAATAACCATCAATCTTTTGGTGAAATGGGCTTCTACAAGTGCACAATAGGCTAATTGGTTTTGGGCTTCTTGATGACAGCTAAATATACAAACAAACACACTATCTTTCTGACTTGTGGCATTTAGATGTATGTTTCATTTGCTAAAATTTAGAAGCCTTAGAATTTATATCTAAGCCCTTTCTTCAGCTTGGACATATTTGAGCTTTAGGCCCCTAAATACTCAGCTTCCTATCAGAAAATGCTGTTTGGATTCCCATAAGCATTCCCCTAAGTTCATTACATCCAAATGAAATTTATCTTTTCGATACCTGTTTTTCTAATGTTCCTCATGTCAATGAATAGTATTGCATCCTTCAGAGCCCACTCAGGAGACAGTGGTATAGTAACTTGATCAAGGCATAATTAATGTAAATAATTAACTATAGCAATAGATTAGCTTTAAAGGGGTAAAGAATACACTAGAGATGAAGTGGAATATTCAAGAAGTGAGTAAATTGGCTGGAATTCAGACCATATTGGAGAAGTGTGGATGGGTGAGAGGTTTTCTGGCTGCCCTAGGCTAGAACTTATCCACAGTCACAAGCAGGAGACACCTTCTAGGGTGCGAATGAAAGGCTGGGCAGGAAACTTCTGCGATATCTGGAGAGGCTTCTGGGAGTCTTCCGGTGAGTACCACTGATGTCCCCCAGGCACTGCTGGCTGCCAGGCACAGGACCACAAAGAAGCAAGCAGAAAAAACATTTGACCAAGGAGAATCCTCTTCTTGCTGCAGTTCCCCTCCAATGCCTTCTACTGACAAATCTTAAGTGTCTGTTTGTCACAAAGGAGAAATTCTTACTGTGCTACCTCCACTCTCTCAAAGCACGCACTAAAGGATAGACTTGGAACTGACAGGCAATAAATTGGTTAATGGTACAATTGCTGTCAATCATCCATTTATCCAAGCCTGCACCCTTTGTGAGATCCTTGACCATTTCCTCCCCTTTCCTCCTACATCTTCTCCCCTTCTTCCTACGTCATCCCGTAGCTGATGAACAATTGTGTTGCTTCTAGTGTTGAGCAACTACATTCAATAATAACCAATATGTTTTACTGGGGGGTGGTAGTATTGGGAATGAAACTGAGGATCTTCACACTAAGATATACCCCCAGTCCTTTTACATTTTTAAATTTGAGGTATTTGATTTTGCTATGCTGCTCAGGCTGGGCTTGAGCTTTCTATTGCCCTGCCTCAGCCTGCCCAAGTGCTGGAATTACAGGCATGAGCCATCATGCCTGGCTAGCCGGTATGTTTTGAATCTTTCCCATGAACTGTTCTAAGTTTTTTTTTTTTCACTTTTTAGTGGGTATATCTTCATTGTTTTCTTTTTAAAAAAATTTTAAAGGATTTTTTTTATTTTAAAGAGAAAAAACAATAAAAACGATATGAAATTTCAAAACAAGATAGTACGAGAGTAACAATGGTTAATACATTGCATGTTGTTATATTCAAAGTAGTTGCTCAGATTACAAGATACAGGCATAAAAAATTGATCGGATGGTATAAATACAAAGCTTTCTTTTTGATGAACTAATAGAAATTAGTAATATAATTATTATATACACACATATATAATATATACTATATAATATACAGTAATATATAATATAATATATTATACTATGTAGTATATATAATATATATTATATAGTATATATAATATATAGTAATATAATATATATACATATATATTTATATGTATTTTTCCTTTTCCCTTCTTTCTTTTCTCCTTTCCCCCATCCCAGTTTTCTCTTCCCATGAAACAAGAACAGTTTCTTCCCATTTCACAATATCTATTATACATTTTGGGTCTTATTTACTCTTTCAGCTTCTTATACTAGGAATGTTTACACATGTGAGTTTGCTTTATTTCACTTATGAATATGGTCTCAAGTTGCATCCATTTACATATAAAAATCTCAATTTATCCTTTGTTATAGCCTAACAGTACTCCTTCATATAAAAATACCACATCTTTTTTATCCATTCCTCAGTTGATTGGTATTTGGGTTTAGTAGATGTTTTCAGAGTGTTTCACCCAAGGTCATCGAAATACACATTCTTCTCAGCTGCACATGGAACATTCTCTACAATAGACCATATACTAGCCTAAGTAAATGTAAAGGAACTGAAATTATCCCATGCGTATTATCTGACCATAGTACATTGAAATTGGAAATTGATGGCAAAAAAACTGCAAAAACTCCATAAACACATGGAAATTAACACCTTCCTAAACAACCAATGGGTCACAGATGAAATTAAGGAAGAAATTAAACAATATCTACAATTAAATGAGGATGCAGATAGATGCAACATACTGGAACTTATGGGATGCAATGAAAGCAGTCCTAAGAGGGAAATTTATAGCAGTGAATTCTCACATCAAGAAAACAGAGAACGAACACAAATAAACAACTTAATGTTGCACCTCAAGCTTCTAGAAAAAGAAGAGCAAGACAAGCCCAAAGTATTTTGTGAATTAACTCATTTGTCTTACATAAAAATCCACGAGTAGGTTCAATTTTTGTTCCTACTCTACAAAATGGGAAAGTAAAATACAGAAGAAGAAATGAAGTTACTTTCCCCATATGTGGCAGAGCCAGGATTTAAACCTAAGAAGTCTGAGCACTTAATGATTATGCTAGTGTACCCAGTCAAGTCTGGTCTTTTTGAACTTTTAAGAGCTCTTAAACCTACTCGTTATTTTGCAGCCCTTCTGCAGTTACCCAGTTCATCATTTTTTTCTAGGTTAGAGTCTTTTCTTGGTCTTCTCTAACTCTTTCCCCACTGTGCCATCACAAAAATTTTATAAAACGCAATACATTCATGGCATTTTAAATATAGCTCAGTGGCTTCCCATTTCACCCAGCATCGCAGCCTGCTCTTTATGACGTAGCTTCTGCTTATTTCTCCAGCATTGACTCTCCAACCACTCTCTGCTCAATGACAAACTTTTGTGTTCTTCCAAATGGCTGTGTTTTCTCTTGCCTCCAGCCCTCTGCTCATGACTTTCCTGTGCACTGAGTATTTGTCCA